TCTTGGGAGACAATGAAAGTTGCAATAGTGGCCAAAATTGTGGAAACCTTTTGGGGAAAGTGTATTTTCTAAAACTAGCTAATAAGACCAGTTTTTTGGGGAGTAGTACCACAAAATTATATATCAATGGAAAGATAATTTAATCAAACAATGTAATGCAATAATTTTTTATGAAGGATTTGCTATTAGAATAGCAGTTACAGTATAAAGAAGAAAAGTGAAACACATAGAAAAAACGAGATATACAAAAATTATCACGTCAGTTAATACTTAGTTGGGTAACTTTGAGCGTGAATTACGGCCTGACAGTGTCTTCCCATGGAGTGAACCAAGTCTTTTAATTCTGCAGCTGTTATAATGTGAAACCAAGATTGAATGATTGCTTCTATTAACTGGGTTTTATTGCTGAGTCACTTCTGATTAACAAGTTTCTTTAGTCGGCTCCATAGATTTTCAATTGGGTTAAGGTCTGGGCTATTCCCAGGCCATTCCCGCAGTGGAATATGATTATCTTGAAACTGCAAAAAAAGTGTTATTATTAGCCATCAAACCTCAAAAATACACTTTTCCCAAGAGGTTTCCACAATTTTGGCCACTACTGTATAGGGGAAGTTCTATCCACAAATTTTTCCTGAGCTATACAGTATGCTACTCCTCGACTTACAACAGTTCATTTAGTGACCATTCAAAGTTACAACGGCAGGGGGAAAAGTAACTTATGCCTTATTGCAGCATCCCCATGATAATGTTTTCAAAATTCACATCCTTGGCAACTGATTCATATTTATGATGGTCACAGTGTCCTGGAATGATGTGATTGATTACCTTTTGTAATAGAGAAGTCAGACTCACTGAACAACCACATTACTAACTTAACAACTGCAATGATTCACTTAACAACTATGGCAAGCAAGGTCATAAAATGGGGCAAAACTTACTCAACCCATGTCTCATTTAACAACAGAAATTTTGGACTCAGTTGTGGTTGTATGTCAAGGACTACCTGTGTATGATCTAGGATACCATCATGGGAACTGATGTTATTTTAATCTAAGATTAAGTTCCATGGAAATTTTAAGAAAAAAATAGGGGCACACTGAGTACAGATTTTTCAATAAATAAATTTAGAGTTCTCTATTTCTCATCAAGCTTCTTCCTTGTAAACTTAAATGAAAGATTTAGTTCTCCAAGGCATATTGGTTCTGTTATATCCAAGTTGTGACTGAAAATAATGACATGAGGAAATAATGAAAAGTACTGTACCTCCTTTTTTTGTGTTAAATTTATATTTACCAACAAAGAAGTAAAGGGAGACTAGTATAGATCTATTTCAAGCTATTTAGTTCTGGTCAACTAGCCATACCCTTCTGAGATTTGAACCCAGGTTTGAATCCCGGAAGGGTATGACTGAAGGGTGAAATTTACTTGCCTTCACTACCGGTTCACAAATGTGAGAGTGTGTGCACTATGCTTGTGCGTGACACCTTTGCGCATGCGCAGAGGGTCAAAAACGGGATGTGATGACGTCTGGGAAGGTGGGCGGAGCCTCCCGCCGCCGGCGCTACCAATTTGTCCGAGCCGGATAGAACCGGCTGAACTTCACCACTGGCATGACTATCTGACGAGAGCTAAATAGCTTGAAATAGATCTATACTAGTCTCCCTTTACTTCTTTGTCGGTAAATATAAATTTAACACAAAAATAGTTTGTCACAAAAGCGACTGCCTGTGAAGGCTGCTGAAAGGGAAAAGTGGAAGCAGTATGCTCCGTCCCATATTTGGGTAGACCAGGTTGCCCTGATAAAAAACACTTTACCCTACCTCCTGTAAATCTTTGAGCCATTGGGCTAAAGGTGCTGATAAGTACATGCTAGGAGACCTTCCGAAAAAGGCATGCCTCATTATTTTCACAAACGTACATGAATTTGATATACTGTCATTTCACAGACACAGCACTATTATATTAATATTTACCTTACTCTCTGTCTTTAGGAGCTGAATGAGCTGCCAAGTACCTCTTTTTTTTTTTACTTAACATTCTGCTTCTTACTTATTCATGCTTGATTTAGTTTTTATTGTGAGTCGATCACTCTTGGATTTATTCATTCATTCAGCATCTGCCTCTGAGCCTAGTTACTAGGTTCCCCATTAGATTCTTTTATTGGTCAACTTATACCAACTTTATGTACGAAAGAGATTTTGAAACCAAGTTTGTTTCCACTGCTTGCCCAAAGTTAAAATTGGGTTTATATTATGTGTCTAACTTTTAAGAAATGGGTGCAATTTCCCAGTTGTTCAAGTCATAGTTTGTACAAGGTTAAAGTAACACCATTATCACCATTATTGTTCTTAAGAGATGGTTACCTAGTATGGGAAGACGAGAGGCCAATTTCATGATTTATTTGTAGTCTAAAAATTAAGCTTAACCTTGGAAAGAGAGGACAAATTATAAATGCATTTATAATTACTATAAAGAAGATCAGAAGTCACTTTTTATATATTTCTTTTTTTTATTTCTTTTCTGTTTAATGATCACTTCTGTTTACTTTCTTTTTTCTTTAAATTGGTATTGTTTTTAGTTTGTAAAAAAACTTTGTAAAAAAAAAGAGTTAAAAACTCAATTAAAAAAATAAAAGCTAAGCCAATAGGATGAAATGATGAATTGGGGCTGGATAAAATGATCTCATCCACTGTCCATCGCATTTACATAAAATGTGGAGCACACACCGAATCATCACCTCTGACTTCCCATGTGGTGGTGTAATACAATATTTCATTGCAGAGAAGAACAAAAGGAGTTCTGTAGCCTGTGCATGTTGAGTTGTGTGAGTTCTAGTTCTGCCTTAGGCATGTAAGCCAGCTGGGGAACCTTAGACCACTCTTCCTCTCTCAACCCAACCCAACTGACAAGGTTGTTGTTGTAGGAAAATAGGAACAGGAAGGAATGTTGTGTATGTTTGCAACCTTGAATGACTTGTAAAGGCAGGATTAAAATCTAATATGTAGGTAAGTGCATAGATTGTGTGTGTGTGTGTGTGTGTGTGTGTGTGTGTGTAAGAGAGAGAGAAACGGAGGGAGAGGGAGAGAGAGACAGACAGACCGACAGAGACAGAGAGAGAATTATATGTTCTATAAGGATGTTAGAAATTAACTGGAGTAAATATGCCCCCCCATTCAGCGGTGAAATGCACTTACCTTTGCTACCGGTTCGGAAATGTGAGCGTGCATGGCTCTTCTGTGCATGCACAGAGCCTTCTGCACATGTGCAGAGGGTCAAAAACAGGATATAATGACGTCCCAGCAGGTGGGCAGACCCTCCCACTGCCGGCACTACCGGTTCGTGCGAGCCGGATAGATCTAGCCAGATTTCACTGCTGCCCCCATTGCTATGCTGAAATCCTTCCATTACTGGTCATAAAAAAACTAGAATTACTAGAATTAAAATTAGAATTACTACATTTGATACAATTCCTTACATTTCAGTCTAAATAAATCTGAAGAAATGGTAAATGACTGCAGAGTTGGTGAGTTCCAATAAATGGCAATTCAGCTGAACTGTTTTTATTTTGCTGTTCACCTGATCTCCACCCTATCCATCCCTGCAAGGAATGGCTAGACCAACCCTAGAAATGAATATTTTGGTGGTAGAAGGACATTAAAATTTTCAACAAAAACAACAACAAAAAAAGGTTAAGAAAGCATCGGTTTATTTTTAATCCACCTAGGTTACCACCTGTAACTTACAAATACTACAGGTAGGAGCCAAAAACAACATGCCATGCCATGTGCATACCGTGAGATTGCAATTTATTTTTATGATTGTAATGTTGTTTTTAACACTATTATTATGTAAGCCACCACAAATTACTTTTGTGATGGAGGCAGCATAGGGATTGATTAAAAACATACAAATCTAGCTACCTATCTACACACCCTGGAAGTAGATTGTGACTGTCTTGGCACGTCCCATGCAGAGAAATGCAGGGTTTATGGAATATCTGAGAGGCTTAAATAAAATAAGATTTATAGAGAAGAAACATTAGAAGGTGAACACTGGTCACTTTAGTGGTCAGCCAGCTGTTGAAAATGAAGAGCAAGGAAAATACTTTTTTTTAACTCCATCTCTTGGCTGCTAACAAAAACTCTCTTCAGCTTCAGTCAGTCCTAAGGCCAGTTTAACCAAGCATTAAGCTTTGAGTAAAGGAATCTTCCCTCCCTCCTATGTCCTATCACCTATGGCACGTGTGCCCAAATTGGCACACGAAGCCATGTCGCACGGCACTTGCCTGTTTGTCTTCCGGGTTTCTGGCTCGTATGCGCGCATGACGATCAACTCTCCTTCGTGCTCACGGCAGTGCCGAAAACCAGCCTGTGCATGTGCGCCGGCCAGCTGATCATTGGGCATGCATGTACACTAGAACCCCTAAGTTCGACTTTTCTGGAGCGCGATCCCGACAACCGTGCATGTGCGCGACATTTCCAGATGACCTTTTCGGCACTGAAAAGGTTCACCATCACTGTCCTATCCTCTCCACAGAGGATACATGAACACATTTATGATTGTAGATTGGCTTCCAATTACCATTTTGAGTGAAATGCTATGTGAGCCAGAACAGTTTTTAAAAGCTGAAATTAATCTCTCCCTCAAGCCTGCCATGAGGACTGCCTTGTCTCTTCTATTGACAGGCTTATCCTCCCTCCCTCTCTCTCTCCCTCGCTCCCTCCCTCACTTATTTACCTACCTACCTGCTTACTTACTTACTATATTTATAGGCTGCCTATCTCCCTGTGGAAGCGATTATAACATTCCATAAGAATGTGATTGTTCAGCAGCATCTTTTATTTCAAAAGGGCATAATTTTTGCAAATGGTGTGTGTGTGTGTGTGTGTGTGTGTGTGTGTGTGTGTGTGTGTGTGAAAGAGAAAGACAGACATATCAGAGAAATGCAATATGGCATTTAATAACATCGGTGTCAACCTTTGTGTTGTATTTTCTTACAGATATTTATAAACAATGAATGGCACAATTCAGCCAGTGGCAAAAAATTTCCTGTCTATAATCCTGCAACAGGAGAGAAAATCTGTGAGGTGGAAGAAGGAGATAAGGTACGCTTTTAATCTTTGCTGTGTCATGGATTTCCATTCCAGCCAGCGTGATCAACAGTCAAGACTAAAACTGGAACACCTATTTCTGTGCATTTCCATATTTAAGTTAACCCATAATTCATTTCCTCAAGTTTCTGAACTAAATATAGCAAAGACACATGCAGAGAGAGAGTGAATACTTGGAAGGATTTCTCAGTCATAAATAAGCTTTCAACAGTTCCAAACACTTCCATAATTCTGTTGGATGCAAAATGATTTCCTAGGCAAATCAACGGTTGACTTGGCTTTTCAAGCAGGTTATGGACCAAGTTGATTTTGTGATCCTGTTTGAGTGATTGCTGGGATTTTCTTTTTCCGTGCATCTCTACATGTGGCATTTTGTTTTTCGTGATTTTTTTAAAAAAACTTGGCAACTTTAAAATGTGGGGGCTTCAACTTCCAGAATTCCCTAACCAGCATGGGAATTGAAGTTCACACATCTTAAAGTTGCCAGGTTTGAAAAACACAAATCTATGGTATCCTGCTCTAGCATCATTTCTGATTTAATGGCCTTATCAATTAAATAAATGAATACTAACTATTGTTAATAGATTGCTAATAAGCAATCGCTCCCTTCATACAAGAAGTGATCTTCCCTCCCCATCTCATGCTCCCACCAGGCAGGACTGCTAAACTTGATAAGTACAGAAAATCCAAGCACAGCCATGAAAGGCCAAGGCCATTATTATGACTATTGTTTTCTGTACCTCCCACTATATCTCAAGACTGAGAACCATCAGATCTGGGCTGCAGAAATCTGGAACACCATGAGAAGCAGCATAAAGAGTTTTCTGAGAAGTTTTTTGCTGTCATTCAATGATGACAGCCCATATATAGTAGCCTTTTTTTTTTTTTTGCACCCCATATATAGTAGCCTTTCTCAAGTGCTCACATGCTGTAATTGTAAAGAGCAGCAAACACAAAAGTTGTTTCCTTGCTATTGCTGGATGAATTGGGCAGATAACTGGAAATGGACATTTTCTTCATTTGATAGGTGATGTTTAGTGCCCAGGACAATCCCAAAGTAAGGATTGTCCTAACAAACAGAGAATGTATGTTTAACTTATATTTGGTTTTAACCTTGTTTCTAACCCTTAACGCTAGATGGAAGAAGGAATCCCTGATAATACAGGAAGGTACTTGGCCAAAGTTAGAAAATCAGATTTATATGCATCTTAAGTGAGAAGTCCTGGTTTGATTGCAAAAGCAATTGAAGTGTCAGCAATGGGGCTCCTGTCTGACCTGAACCATACAGAGGACAAAACTCTGTGACTGATGGAAGCCTTGTGTTAATTTTTTGAATAGTAAAAGTCATTTAGAAAGTATGTTCTTTGCATTCAGTCCAAAGATCCCTTTTAGAAGTATTTTTAAAACTGCACATTTGCTTAGTACTGGCTGATCTCTCCTTGTAATGTCAACTGAATCATGTGCCCATATCCAGGGGTACTTTTTAAAGAGGGCAAAGAGATGGTTAATTATGCAGTTCATTTTATCATCTCCTCTTAAATAAATAAATAAAAATAGTGTTACAAATGAAATCAGTTGCTATTTCATCTGCCTCCAGTTCAATAATGCAATTTGTTACAATGATTTAGATATTTTTGTTGTTTCGTAAAAGATTTAACAATTTGAGAAAGTGATCATTCAGGTTAATTTCTATTAATTGTGGGGTTTTTTTCAAATATCTGTGTTAATTTATTCAAATTGGTTATAGCCACCCAACTCTGATGGACTCTGGTTAGTATAGAAAACAAAATAAAAATAAAAACCAACAAAATATAAAAACACACAGAGAGCCCAAACTAAAACGATGTTAAAAGCAATAAAAAACAAACAAAATACCCTACCCCCAAATACAATAATACAACCCAAGACTTGAGACCAAAACTTTTCAAAACCTAGGAGAGAATGCTCTGCCCTTTTCAAGAGAAGGCACACTACATTGGTCCTGCACAACAACAACATTTAATAGAGGGTACCTAAAGTACATCCACTGTGAGGTGCAAAGAATTGGGACTATTGGTTGGATTGCATTATAGAATATTTATTCAAGCCTATACTGAAGAATCTGGTCGATTAAAGTTCAACACTAATTTGGTGCCAACCGAATTCAGGAGGAGCTGGACTTAGAGCGCTTTTGGGAATACTCTAAGCTGATGATGTGTTTAACTCCACCTCCCACAGCTCTGCCTGCTCTTCTCTACATCCATTGCCAGAACAAACCCGAAAAGTAGAAACCTTGGAGGGAAGTAGCCTCAGATATCCATGTCCTAAGCCAGGGGACACCTGCAACCTTAAACACTCAAAGAGCCATTTGGACCCATTTCCCACAGAAAAGAAAACACCGGGAGCCACAAAACCCTTCCCATGCCTGACTATTTCTTGAGCGGCCACAAAACTAGCATATGTAGTTGAATTAAACGTTCTGTTTCCTTCTGAAACTTTTCTGTTTCCTTCTGAAACTTTTCTTTTCTTGGATTTATCCATAGTTGGCTTACTGGGGGTTGAAAATCGCGTGCCGGCGGATGTCACACATTGGCAGTTGTGACGCATATTTTGAGTGACAGAGAGCCACAGCAGAGGGGTAAAAGAGCCATATGCTATTTCCGAGCTGCAAGTTGCTGACCCCTGTCCTAAGCCATATAGTGTCAACGATTGCTAATAACTAAATGGTTTTCTGAAGCGCACAAATCTACAAATCATACAAATAAATGTAAACTCCAGATTCTAACATTTAATAGATGAACCAATAAATTTTAGGACTTCGACTGGTGCTTACAAATGACACCACAAAGGATTATTCATTTCAGAAAACACTCTTTCCTTGCTCCGAAAATCAAATTATAAGGGAAAGAAGTGCATGGGATTGTAAAATAAACCATTTCACTCAGTTTGTTCATTCAAGCTACAATCACTAGGAAAAGTTTTAAACTTTTGGGGTTTTAAATTAAGCCAAATTTATTTAATACTTTTAAATTATTTTAAATTGATGTCTATTCTGTTTTTAAATAGGCTGTACACCGCCCTGAGTCCTTCGGGAGAAGGGCGGTATAGAAATAAAATTATTATTATTATTATTAAAATATTTTAAAATGATTATATTTTTAAATGGTCATTTAAAGAAACAAAATGTAATCTTAACATGTCTTTTTCAAAAAGGCAACTGAATTTTCTTGGTTTTTTTTTCCTTTGAAAAATGTTTTACATCTCCTCCAAAAAGCTTCTTTGGTTCAGTTCTTAGATGAGAAGCGAAATGTTTTTTTCAAAGGAAAAAACCAAGAAACTCCAGGACTTGTCCAAGCAATCTCTGAGAACTGGACATAATTGAATGGAAGAAAACTCTACACTTATTTATATCTTCTGGAGAACGAAGAAAATGTTAATGTGTACTAACAATAGTGGTAAGAAAGGAAAATGCCTGGAATTGTGCTGATGTGGGCGTTTGCAGAATTGTTACTCTAGTGAACAATCACTAATAATCATGATCTGAAAAGTATTGATATGACATGTGTGAGGTTTTTTTTTCCCCACAGGAAGACGTTGACAAAGCTGTTAAAGCAGCAAGGAAAGCATTTGAGTTTGGATCCTCCTGGAGGACAGCAGATGCTTCAGAAAGGGGCAGGCTGTTGAACAAACTGGCGGATTTAATTGAAAGAGACTATCTTCTCTTAGCTGTGAGTCTAAGTTAAGCAAACCTAACTTTTTACAATGAGATTCTTTCAATGCCTTTGAGTACTCCAGTGAAATGATATATTCTTGTTTTAAGAGAATATAACCAACCCAAAGTCATAGTTTAGAAAAATCCACATTGTTTCCTTGTCAGAAAAGCTGCCTGTTGTGTTCAGCGAGTTATACAAGATAGATTAAGATCTCCCTTGTCTTTCTTAAGCAAGACAGAAAAATGACCTAGTGTGATAAGGTAACATTTCATCACTGTTACTGAAGAAAAATAATGAAGTGAAGAGGGCACCAGGTAATGCTCCCAGTATTAATTTGAAAACCAAGTTGTACTGAGGGGAGTCTCCAAATTTCCAAAGTAACCTTTAGGTCAACCACAATTTTAGAAGAATGTTTAAAGTATAAGAATGTTGGATTTGTTTTGCTGCTTTCCTGCACAAGCCCATCTAGTTTGACGCTATTCACCTCAGGACCTGAGAATGAAAAGTACAATCTTCAGTTACATGTTCAAAGTCTTAATCTTTTTTTTTTTTAATCAACTATAAATTTGATGCAGAGATTATCATCTCTCAAACAAGGAGGAAAAATTGGAGAAATTGAATGAATTAATTGACTAATTTCAAAGAATGTGGGTGCATTATAGATGAAAGAATGAAAATGGTTGTGGAACCCATCCCAATGGGTTTAACCATTTCTTTTCCATTCTTTGCTCAGCCCACAAAACCAAATTTACAAATATAAAATAAATATCTTCATTCAGAAAGGGCTGTGAAGTAACATTTTATGAACGATACAGCAATTACAAGCAATATTTAATCTTTTGTGCTATTATTGATTATCTGTGTGTATATGTGTGTTTTCAATAAATTGGTAGATTACCTAAACTTTGGAAGCAGTCATTTGAAAAAACTGTTACTCAATCTTTGACAGCTAAACTGTTATATCTAACTAAAGTGAATGAATAACTTAATGTATCGGTAGTAGTCTAAAAAAAAAAGTAATAGAGGATTATGTTTTGGGGCTTAGTTCAAAATGCAAAGTCTTTTCCTTTTTCTATGGAGTGAATTTCGCTCTAGAAATAGTACTGGCAACATCTTCCAGAAAAATGATACAGCAAGAGTCGAGCAAAGAGTATGTTTACCGGCTGCAGTCTTCTCTGAGATTAAACAACTCCATTCTAGAGCTAATACATGCTGATGGCCATTATCCTTTGAGATCATGTATCAGTTAGATAACTATCCTCAAAAGAACCGCTCTAGAATTACTCCTTAGGAAACCCCTCAAAGCTACAGATTCAGTTCATTACATACATTTCTGCAACATGATCATAATGCTCAGTTGCTTTAATAAACATAAAAAGATTTGTAAGATTTTTGAAGCCTATTGTTCTGTCCCCAACTGAAGATAATCTTTCTTTCCCAATGCCATTCTTAAGTCATCATGACATAGTTAGTGTAATTCTTAGTAAACCAGTATTAAAGACAGTTACATTTCTTTCATTTATCTACAATGATTAATTTTTTTAAGCCGTTCTTTGTTTCAGACAATGGAGAGTCTTGACGGCGGAAAGGTTTTTTCAAACGCCTACCTAATGGACTTGGGTGGTTGTATCAATACTTTGCGCTACTTTGCTGGCTGGGCTGATAAAATCCAAGGACGTACCATCCCCATGGGTGAGTCATTCTGGACAAGGTGTCCATGAGATAAAGTTGGTTTAATGTGAATTAAAAGAAGCCTTGAGTGAAAACTTTTTCATCTGAGAAAAATGCAACCTTTAGAAATCTGTTACATAAAAGTATATTGGTAAAAGCTTTATCAGTAAGGATTCATTTTGGTTTTTTTTTCAATGATTGGTACATCTTGTATAATTCATTCCTGTAACTTTCCATCCTAACTGAAGTTCCTTCAGTTGGAAGGATTAGTGGGTTTTATTATAAATGCTTTTGTATTCTCTGTGTGTAAGAATACAATTATATTTTCTTTACCAAGTGATGTTGCAGTCTGACTGATTGTATAACCATACAAATTGAGCAATCTTTGGATTTTTTTTTCCTCAAGAGCCCAGCTTTTAAAAAGAACAATATCTAAGGCTGCAGGAAATATGTTATTTTTCGACTTTAAACAATACACACACACACACACACACTGTATAACACAGCGGTCACCAACTGGTGGTCCATGGACCACTGGTGGTCCATGAGAAAATTTTGGTTGTCCGCAGAAAAATCTTTGCATTTTTGTATATTGCACTAAATCAGGGACCCGCCAAAACAATTAATTCCACTCGCTGACGGGATGGGGTCCTTCAGGCACTTAGCTTGGCTGCCTGTTTAGTAGCTCCAGCTCTTCCCTCCCTCCCTCGGGAGTCCAGGTGCTTCAGTGAGCAGCGCACAAAACTTCAGCTAGGATCCTCGAGAGACAGAGTTTGCAGGGGGGCAGTCTAGCACCATGGCTGGCTACAAGACAAACGTTCATTCTTGGCTGTATTTGAGATTCCTAGCTGCAATGGATAGCAAAGCTAGGGTTGACTCTGGATGCTACTCTCTGCTAACAGGCGACCAAACTAAGTGCCTGAAGGACCCTATCCCATCACTAATTCATATTAGTGGTCTGCGGGATTTAAAATTATGAATTTAGTGGTCCCTGAGGTCTGAAAGATTGGTGACCCATGGTATAATAGACTCAGCCATATAAATGACATCCATATGGAATTCATCTTACCATCCTGTGAAAAGACCAAATCTTCACAGCCTTCCAGAAGACTAGAAAGGTCACACCCTTCCTCTAAGTTGACTTGTAGTATTTTACCTTCTTGAAATCCAAACTGATTTTTGGTCACTTGTCCTAAATAAGAATTAGCTAAACTGGTTCCCCTATCATCTTATATACATTGTAAGACTTACCTTTCAATTATTACTTTAATTTTTGAAGTCATTTGCAATGGACAAAATATTAACTGGTCCGGGCACATTTCAAAGGATGTTAATTGCTGGTCTTGAAACTAAATTTCTCAAATAACTAAATAAACTAAAGAACAGAAGAAAGAAATGAATAGAAAATTTGTCCATTTTTATTTTTTTACATGCCTAAACTTTCATTTTAACATATACACTGTAATTATGCCAATAAGAACTTGCCAGCATTTATTTAGACATTACAGGTTGTCCTCACTTGGTGAACACTTGTTCAGCAATCTAAGTTACAGAAATGCTGAACAAGTAAATTTACAAAGGGTCTTCAAAGTTATGGCTATTGGAGCATGCCTGTAGTCACACAGCTGTGACTCAGCACTTGGCAACTGGCATTACAACAGTCACTACACCCTGTGGTCATGTGATCACCCTTTACAACCTTCACAGTTGGCTTCCAACAAGCAAAGTCAATGGCGAAGGCAGCAGGAAGTCACAAGTTTGTGCTCACATGTCATTGTGTCATGTGACTTGTTTAATGGCTACAGCCAAAACTGATGAACTGGCATTATAAAGTCAGGAGCAGTCATGTGATTTTGCGATTTCATGATTTGTCACTTAGCAAGTCCAAATTGTAGTCAGTAAGTGAGGATTAACTGCAGAGATGCAAACATACGACAAATATACAGAGATTATTCTGAAGTGCCTCCATTACTGCTGGTTAGCAAGTTTATGCTTTTTAAGAACAAAGGAAGAAGCTGGGTATCACAATTTTAAAAAAATGAAAGGAATATCAAAGAGCTTTTGAGCCCCTGATTAAAGAAACTGGAAAAAGTCCAGGGAAACAACCAGAGGATTTTGCTTCTGATTGTCTTGGTAAACAATCAGGTAAACAAGAGCAGATCTATGAACTAAAGTTGGAATTTTAATCTTAATTTTCCTATATATGTTGCCATTTAAGTTTCCCGGGTATTTGTGTTCTCTGAACAAGCTCCACAGTTGCTTATTTTATACAATGAGAATCTCTCTGCAGCAGACTTCCCATTATCAGTTTATATTTTCTATTTTTTTAAAAAAGTGAGATCATTTTTAAATTGCAATCTGTGAAAACTGACAAGGTTTTTGTATTCTTTCTTCATTTTTTTTTTTTAATTTGATTTATATGCCGCCCTTCTCCGGAGACTCAGGGCGGCTTACAATGCGTTAAGCAATAGCCTTCATCCTTTTGTATATTTTATACAAAGTCAACTTATTACCCCCACAACTGGGTCCTCAATTTACCTATCTTAGAAAGGATGGAAGGCTGAGTCAACCTTGAGCCTTGGCGAGATTCGAACCTGCAGTAATTGCAGGCAGCTGGTCTTAATAACCAGCTTAATAGGGTGCCTTAGACCACTGTACTACCAAGGCTCTTTTTATTTTATTTATTTTATTTTTAAAAAGAATTTTATTTCATTTATCCCTCGTGAATTTGATCAATTGGGAAAGAAAAACTGATTATCCTGGTCCCACAACTTAATTCCACAGCGTCAGGAGTTGACATAATAGAATTGGGGCCATTTTTTCTGATCTTTTAAGCAATTAAGGTTCTGAGAGTCCTATTTCTCTCACCTACCAGAATTAGAATGGAGGACAAAACCAGGCAAGGTGTTCCCTAGAACAGCGGTCCCCAACATTTATGGCTCTGGGGGGGCGAAGGCAGCAGGGGTGGGAGAAGGGATACTTCTGTAGATCAGTGACTCCTGTCCTAGAAGATAATTGATGGTAGCAAGAAAAGTCATGCTGCAATACCAAGAGACAAGGTAGAGCTGGTTTGTATAGATGTAAAATACTTCTGAGAGAGATGGATTAAAGCTTCCAACCTTTTACCTTACAGATTTAGTCTTGTTGCTATACCAGTCATGCAGGCTTGTTTAATGGAAAAGTAGAGTTGCTGAAATTCCTTTTTTCTGTGTAAAAGGGATGTTGAGTGGCTCACCAACTCCACTGTCTTAAGTTTTATATTTGGTTATGATTGAATCTAAGCACATTTGCATTTTATTTGCTTGTATTATACTGTAGCAACAGGCCACAATTGCAACAGCCTAGTCCTATAGCAATTACAGGTTAACAAGGCAGATTTTCTTTTTTACTCTTGCTATATCTTCTGTGTTTTCTTATTATTTTACCTAGATGGAAACTATTTCACATTTACTAGACATGAACCTGTTGGAGTTTGCGGTCAAATCATTCCTGTAAGTATCATGTATATAATAAACAAAATGAGTGATGTCTTTCACTTCACATAAATTGCCATTCGTGGATAGGTTTTTTATGCCCCAGAGGCTGTAACTAACAACAAATGGAACAATATGCATCAGTTTGATAGGTTTAATTTAATTTTAATTTATCTTGAATTAAATTTTTGTCAATAAATACATAAACTGAGCTCCTGAATATTTATTAACTTCTCCCTTTTATCTCATTAAAAATTGTCATTTGCTTACAATTTTGGGGCTCTGAGGACTACACATCCAGGCCCACCCAGTTGGGTACCCTTGAATTATGTGTTTATGGACAAAAATGCATATATGCATAGCTATTTTAACTCCCAATAATCTGCTTTTTCCTGTGAATTGAATTTAAGAGATGCTGACAGTTTCTCTAGATTGAAGACTGAGTGTATATTCATACTTTTAGTTAGATGTTTCTTCATTTAAATTAATTTGTTTAATAATTAGTGCATGTTTTCACATTCCTGAAGCCACCTGCTGAGGACAATTGGTTTGCTTGTTTATTTCCTGACTATATAGAGTGCTCCAATCAGCTAATTTTAAGTGGCATACAGTTCCCCCCAAATCACCATTTGGGTTTAGAAACAAACAGTTAAGAGCATTTATAAAACTGGAAATACAACAGAAACCAATTCATCATCTGAAGGGATATTGATAAGATTGCTGACGGCCACAAAAGCATTTCAAACTGATTGCACATTAGTAGAACTCAGCTTTCTGAGATCTTAGAAAAGAATATACAAAAAGAGTGTTATAGTATGTAAATAAAAGTGCCTCAAACAGGAACTTTTGTGCTTCAGTCAACAAAAGAACTTAAAAGGAAGGATGTAACAAACTTATAGTGTACAAGATGGCTGCTTGGCTAAAAGAGGTTAACAGAATATTCCCAGCTAATTTGATTAATAGAAGTTCTGGGATCTCCAGTCCCAAAAAATCCAGAAAGCACCAGGCTAAGTAAAACTGATACATCAGTCAACAACAAAACAACAAGCCTATGAAGAAATTGAGGTACCTTCTCCCTGGTTCTTCACTCATGTCTACAGTATACAACTCATTAGTAGAACTGTATACAAATGTGTTGTGTTCTAGTTTTGCAGGATGGGGAACCTGGCTGATGGTTTTATTTCATCAAGCTTTCCCAGGGGAAAGGAAAAAGTCTCCAGTAGTTTCTCAATGAATGAGACTCACCATTAGCATGGATGTTGCTCTGCTTTGTCTCCATCCAATCATTGTTAAAGTTGATCTTCATAGATTTAGTTTTTCATGACTACAGATGGTTAATGAAACTGTGTTAGCAATATTGGGCACCGTGTGGCTTGCTCTACAATTTCCCTGAAATAGCTATACTTGAAATATTGTGTGTGTGTTTTTATATGCATTTAATGTTGACAAAATTGTACAAAATAGACTTGAGAAAATATGTTTAAAAATCAGAACACTTTCTTCATAAAACCTCTAGCTCAGGTTAGATTCACAGATTAAATATGATGGGAAGTGCCAGAAGATACTAAGAAGGTCAAGGAGGATGTTAGTACTATATAATCCTTCTACCCTTCAAATAGAGAATTTCTGCCAGTGTCTGAAACTTTTCACTGGAGCCTTCATACCTGCTGTGTCACCTCCAAACATAAATCTGAGTACCATGGAATGGTTTGGGAACTTAGGGTTGATCATCTAATTATCTCTATTAACCACTTGCTAAAATTTTATCTCCTGCTTTGAAACAGAATAGGAGGAGTGCATACATTGAATAGATAGATGAGAATATAACTTGAATAGCCCATAGGTATAGTTATAGCTTTAGACTAGATAAGTGCCCTTTGAATCTCTGGAATATTGGAAGGTGCCTCTGGTTGACCCCTGTCAGGGTCACTCTGGTTGCTCACCAGGATTTGCTGAGGACAGAAAGTAAACAAAAGCCATAAATCCTGGTTCTTATAGTTTAGCCTTTGATGCAATCTAGTCTAATAAAAGTTTATAACCTTCACTAATTACAGTGCTTATTGTTTCTGAATCTCTTCAAAAGATGCTCTGCCCTTTGGCAACACACCAACAGCCTTGTTTCTAGTGCCGGCCCCTGAAAGGAGCCCCCAGTTGGTCGGCTGTCTCTTCTTCGGTTCAATGGAAACATATTAATCAAACCTCAGCCTTACACTTGGGGCTGTTTTCTGATGGGTGGTGGACGTTTACAAAGTACAAGTAGGAAATATAAACTTGTTATAATGATTTGTTGGTCATGGCTTCTTACGGTGCCTTTGTAGTGGAACTTCCCACTGGTTATGTTCATTTGGAAGATTGCCCCGGCCCTTTGTTGCGGAAACACGGTAGTCGTCAAGCCAGCCGAGCAAACTCCACTGACTGCTCTTCACATGGGCGCTTTAATTAAAGAGGTGAGTTGCCATAGCAAAACGACTGTGTGCAGGTCCCGAAGAAGAAGGGAAATGGATGTAAATGTGATCTTTACATGACGGTGCATATAAATGGTAAGGGCTAGTCTGCTTTGTGTCAGAGGAGCTCACAGCATGCCTGGCCTTGTCTTGGGCTATTGTGTTGTATTGCAAACCGCTGAAGCACATCCAAGGTTAGAAACTCACATGCTTTTCCAGCCTAAATTGTTCAGAAAACAAATCATTAGCAGCTTAGTAGACTGAACATCTTGGCAAACCTCACTCTTTGGGGAGGCAAAAACAAACAAGAGCCGGCTCAGAAAAAGCAAAGGGAGGGGCAAGGAGGGGGATGGGAAGGGTGGTTTTGATGTTTCACATGAGCATTTTGGTGATGAAACCTGGTAATTGGACTTGATGTTTTAATATAAGTTTCTCACTGAAACGTTTGCCTTACCCAATAATTGAACATGAGCTATATGAAACTGTCAAGTGTCAAGCAAGGTGTGCCCAGGGTAAAATACACCTGTTATAAAGTTGTAATTCGAAACATCCTCACTTAGAAGCCACTTGGATCAAATGAAGAGGACTGAGCCTACATTGGGGTAGACAACGTTTCAAGCTTTGGCTTTCAGTTCAAAATCTTGCATAAGGTCCTGGCGTGCAAAGTAATTGCAAGCGATCTGCCAAGACTGTCCAATTCTACAGGCTTGCTGCTTCTTCCCAGGATCTCATGAGATATCATGTCATGAGTGGCACAGACCAAAAGATTCTAATTAAATACTTTTCTACAAATTGAGGTTATTTTTAAAGCAAGTTGAATATTGGGAGGAGGGAGTCCTAACAGGCCCTTAACCAGGTGCTCAAATGCAGCCAACCGTTAAGTAACATAGCAAAGGGCAGCTAAGATTCTGTAATGATCGATGGTCAAAAGTATTACTCAGAGAGCTTATTGCCCGTATGTTCCTATACAATCTTGAAAAAATGCAGAAAGTCCATAACTTATAATTATTAGTTTAGTTATTATTTGTTTAGTTATTCTTTTTGATCAATGGCTTACAACCAGTACTCAAACTTGCAACTGTTGCAACATACCCAACATCATATCATTGTGATTGGCAACCCAATTTGTGACTGTTGCAATGTCCTGAGGTCCCATGATCGCCATTTGTGATCACCCTTTGCAATCTTCCCAGCCTGCTTCCAACAAGCAAAGTCACTGGGGGAAGCTGGTTTCATTTAACGGCTGTGGAGATTTACTCAGTCTTAAAAAAAAGAAAAAAGTAATAAAATCAGGTTCCCTTCACTTAATGACCTCATTGCTTAGCAATGAAATTACAGTCCCAATTGTGATCATAAGTCATAGAGTTTCTGTAAAGTGATTTGTGCTGTTTTGAAGGTGAGTTAGCCCATATTTTGAATACTCTCTCATTTTTTGGTCCATTAATATACTACTTTTCTTCTTTTTGGAAGCCTTCTAAGCTTTGGATTTAGTTTTGTAGTGGAGAAATTAGGGCCATCATTAGGACTTGGCATGGGTTAGGGTTAGGGAACACCCTGTCTAGCAGAATTTAAAGCTTACCTTGCAGAAAGGGTAAAGGATCTGCTAAGGAGTAAGTCCCTAAAGAGGGATTTAGTCAAGAGTTACACACCCCAGAGACAGAAGGAAGCATGAGAGAAAAAAAACCCTTCGGAATAATTTTCTTTAGTACAGGATGAAGAAATTTGGGCAAGCTTTCAAGATTCCATTGGTATATCCCACAACAGTGTTTTTCAAACTTGGCAACTTTAAGAGGTGTGGACTTCAGTTTCCAGAATTTCCCAGCCAGCAACTCTGAGAGTTGAAGTCCACACCTCTTAATGTTGCCAAGTTTGAAGAATACGGCCTTACAACAATAAAGTAGCATTCCTGAATAACATCTGCTTCTTGATTAAGCGTACCTCAAATGGCTGACAGCCTGGTTCTCTCTGTACAAGTGCTTCTGCATGAGAACTTAGTTTTCTCTTGGCTCCATGTTGGGCAGCCACCATCTTACATTGTCCCACATGCCATTAATTTCTTGGCATCATTGCCATGGATCATGAGTAATTTGAGAAAGCTATTGTTTGCAAGACTAGAGCAGAGTACCGATTTGGTTTCTGTTGAGAAGTGTCACCTTCTAATGCCATATCAGCAACTGGCTTGCTTGTTGAATAGCCAATATGGAGCAGAGGTGAATTCAGAATTATGGAGAATGGTTGATAAAAGTTAAGTGATGGAAATAGGTGATAATAAATCATTAGTAACTACCACTCTTGAAAAAAATTCAACAGAAATTTTGGGCTCAATAGAAGCAAAGTTTGCCAGCCACAATTTGTTGAGATCACACAATACTTTAGCCAAATACATACCATGGATTGAGATGATGTATGAATCTGGTCTTGAGAAAGAATAAAAATATAAGAAATTGGGAAAGCTCTACTAAAAGGTGACAAAATTTTACTCTCTTCTTCCAGGCAGGATTTCCACCAGGAGTGGTGAATATTGTGCCAGGATATGGTCCTACTGCTGGAGCAGCCATTTCCAATCACATGGATATAGATAAAGTGTCATTCACAGGCTCAACTGAGGTAGTTCCTTAATATTATGAAGAACTGAAATAGAAAAATTTAAATTCCAATTCTGACAAATCCTAATTTGTTTCTATGTAATTGGGTTGATTTTTTCATTTTTAACTGAATTAAACAATATATCTGTAATTATTTCTTGATTACAGGCATCTCAAATGCTTCTTTGCCATGTAATTTTTAAATCTTATTTTGAATTTGTTGGAATTCTACATGGTAACTTTTTTTTTTACTACAGTTTGGGTCCCCAAATTATTTTGAATTGTGAAAAAACAATGACAAATTTTATAAATAAATGCAAATAAAATATATTCCCTCTAAAAAAAAACCCCAAGAGTTTTGGAAGATGATAATCAATCTGAACAACAGCGGGACAATTTGCAAAAGATAGTCAGTGTTGGGATCATGCAGAAAAATCACATTCTGCATTTTCATTCATTTTATCTGAAAAACATATTTAGGCATTCAAAGAATATATGTTCTTATATTCTATTTTGTTGGACACATTCCACATTAAAAAAAAGTATAGCTCATAGGAAGACGCCTTATTATAAATCAGAATATTTGCTTCTCAAGGCCCAAATTATCTATTCAAGGCAGTATTGTAATTTGCAATCTCCTACTTCTTGCAAGTCAACTAAGATTGAATTTGGCACTTTCCCTTGAAAGGGTTCAGCTCTGTTTAGTGTCTTTCTTTTCCAGGGATGGTTGACAGTGACCCAAAGGATGTCAATGAGGAATGAGAAGCTCTTCTTTCCCCCAAGTGGCTTTGTCACTTTAGGGGTGGGCAACTCTGCAAACTTTATGATCTGTGGACTTCCACTGGCTCAGGAATTCTGGGAGTTGAAGTCCATGGATCATAAAGTTGCCACAGTTGTTCATCCCTGCTTTAGGGACATTATGTTAGGAGCCATGTGCCAACCATGACCACTGCCAGAATCAAAAATGACCACGGCCACAGTGCAAAAGCTCGTGGCCAAATTATGGGGCTAGGGTCTGAAGGGAAGTGGTCAAAACAGGTACAACCAGTGCCAAAAAAGAGCAGCGGTCACCTCACAATCTTTTTTTCAGAAGGCAATTTACATTTCAATTTCCATCCCATTTCCTGTCTCAATGTCTCATTTGTATTCCCTTCAGGTGGGTCGAATGATCAAAGAAGCTGCTGGAAAGAGTAATCTGAAAAGGGTCACTCTGGAACTTGGGGGGAAAAGCCCCAATATCATTTTTGCAGATGCTGACTGTGAGTGGATCATTTATTCGGGATTTACTTTCTTTAAAAGTAAACGTTAAGCAAGATATAACAGGAATGCTTTTCTTTGCAGTGGATAGTGCTGTGGAATTTGCACACATTGGTGTGTTCTACCATCAGGGGCAATGCTGCATAGCTGGATCTAGGATTTTCGTGGAAGAGAAGATCTACGACGAATTTGTGCGTAGGAGTGTGGAAAGAGCCAAGAAAAGCATCCTAGGGAATCCTCTGTCTCCCGGAGTAAATCAAGGTCCTCAGGTAAGTTTTAATTAATCACCATATCATTGTTGTTGTTTTTTAAATCAGAGTTGCCAGAGTCAAGAATCAGCCCAAATGCAAGATTCCTGGCAGCTTGATTGAAGCCTTATTGCTTGCCAAAGTACTTTTTTAAAAGTTTAATATGGCTCTTCAGTGTGATTAGCTCCTTTCCTTTGAATAGTCTTTGTATATGAAAGCATTGCCAAATGGAATTCAATTTCTCATTTGATTTTCACATAATACTTACCTGTCTCTTTGAGGCTGTCCCCGTTTCCTGGTTCTCTGGGGCTGCAGCTTCCTGTTTTCTTCTGCACACCTGCTGAACTTGCTCTAGCTGCCTTGAGGCAACTGAACTTAGCTAGATTTGAGAACCAATTGCTCAACCTAACCCTACTGGGCGCAGAGTCCCACCCTATGTGTGATTCTCTGACAAGCAGGCACAGATTGTCTTCACAAAGAACATTTTCCTGACAGATGGTTATTCTGAACCAGTCTGCTTATTAAAAGTAGGATGGTAGCTGTGCCATTATCTATTACTCTGTTTCTGACAGCATGACAGAAGCTTGGTTATTTCTGTCATTTAACCAGGATTTCTACTTAGAAACTTTGACAACTCTTTGAAAAGATGCAAGGACATAACTTCACAAATGCGCAGACAATCCACATTGAAAATGCTGGATATTTTGTGCAGAATGTATATTTTTCACTGATTAGGGAGCTGAAAACAGGAATGTGGAAACAGTAATATTTGGCCTGTCGTCCCTGAAATAAATCAATGGGCCTTTCCCTGCTTTTATCCAGCATTTGCATAAACATGCCCTGGCAATAATATTTATATGCCATTATGTTGCCTTCATTTGATTTCTAGCCCACGAATGAGATACATACAAGTTGTCCTTACTTATGAATAGTAAAATAGCATTTCCCCCTTAATTTTGTCCAAGAACAAGTTGTTGTTGTTAAATTTTATTCGCCGTTCATCCCACATAGGGATACTCTAAATGGGCTACACTAATTTTTTAAAATGAAAAAATAAAAAGTAAAACAATAAAATAAAATAATAGAACAATAAAATAAACCACAAAAAAGAAAACAGAGAAAATACATCAACATTAGTTAAAAATAGATGGGTGAGTGGGGAGCAGAGAGTAGAGAGGAGGGGAGGTGGAACCTGCTGTCAATCTAGCATCCAGAGTAGCTGAAAGTATATACATTCTGTTGGGTTTTTTCACTCTCCCTTATAGGTTCTGCCAGCGGACCTGGGGAATACAGAATGGGATGGAACCCGTTAAATGGCTGGTGTGATGTGTTGTCCCTGGGGTGGGGAGTTATTATATTATTTTATTATTCTCCTTTATTAGTTTTATATATATGAGGTTTTTATATTCCTGTAAGCCACTTTGAGTCACCAGGTGCGAATAGGTGGCAATATAAATTCAAACAAACAAACAAACAAACAAACAAATAAATAAATGAGTCAAGTGGCTAACAGTGCCTTGAAAAGGAAGCAACTGGGGCAGGATTGGGATCAGCATTGAGAACTGCAAATTTTATGCCACAGTCACAGCCTTCCTCAAAATGATACCCTCCAGGCACTTGGAACGTCAACTTCCAATTCAGCCTGAGAACTCTGGGAATTTAATTCACTGTAGGGAACCCACTGTAAAGAATTATGAAACAAATGAGTCTATACAGGCAGTTCTCGACTTATAACCATTCATTTAATGACCGTTTGAAGTTAAGATAGTGCTAAAAGTGACTTGCAACCTCACTCTTATGAGCATCCCCATGTCACATGATAAAAATTCAAGTACTTGGCAACCAACATCTATTAATGTCAGCTGCAGTATTTCAGGATCATGTGATCCCCATTTGGCAGCCTTCCCAGGCGGCTTCCAACGAGCAAAACCAATGAGAGAAGCTGGATTTGCCCAATGACCCTGTGATTTGATTCACATCCATGGTGATTTGCTTAACAACTCTGGCAAAAAGGTCGTAAAATCAGGTGTGACTCATTTTAAGCACTGCATCCCTTAGCAGGACAGGTTCCAATCCCAACTGTGCTCATAAATCAAGGACTACCTATAGTTAAGTATGGTCTACAATCCTGGTGGCTTCATGGAGAGTTATTTACAAATAACTCCTCAGATCGATACTCCTGGAAAGAGTGGATTATAAAAATCTGTGACATTGGTGTGAGCCTTCTTTCCATAAACTTAATTATTCATGTGTCAAACAGTTTCCAGATGTTTTGTCCAGCAGTTTCTATCTGGTATTCATGATAAATTGAAATAGGCCTTCATACGACGCTCAATCATTCAGTCCCTAGTCATCTCACAGCTGGATTACTATAATGTGTTCTACATGGGGCTACCCTTGAAGAGCATTCAGAAGCTATAGCCGGTCCAGAGTGTAGCAGTGCAAATAGTTGTGGAGGCTCCAAGAATGGCCCGGGTAACACCACTGCTCCGTGAGCTGCATCGATTATCAGTCTGCTTCCGGGTGCAATTCAAGGTGTTGGTAATCACCTTTAAAGCCCTTCATGGCATGGGTTCAGGTTACTTGAGGGACCGTCTCACCCCACTGGGATGGGCCTGTACCACTCATGCCAGGGTTAGATTTAACCTTGTTAAATCTTTCATAGAGCTACAGTTGTGAATTAGGGTTTAAGTTAGTATGACTTCTACAAAATAACAATCTGAAGCACAGACATTGTGCTTCAGAAAATAGCCTACCAAATTAAAACAATACGAGAGGAATTAATATGAAAAGAATCTAAGAAAGATCCAGTCCATGACAACATAGGGTTTTTCTAAAAAAACAAAAACAAAAAAAGAACTTCTCTTCTTTATATCCTTAATTACTGAACTTCATGAAAAGTGCTGGCCCAAAGCCAACATCTCGATAGCAAATTGCTTCATTTTCATCCCCCTGTATAAGCATTTGTTCCTGCTTTGTAATCCTAAAGCCCCAGAATTGGCTGGGAAGTGACTTATCAGTGCAATATTTTCCATCCAGATTGATAAGGAGCAGTATGATAAAATACTTGCACTAATTGAGAGTGGGAAAAAAGAAGGCGCCAAGCTGGAATGTGGAGGAGGCCCCGGAGGAGACAAAGGCTTTTTCATTCAGCCGACGGTTTTCTCTGATGTTACCGATGACATGCGCATTGCCAAAGAGGAGGTGAGTTGATGCAGCACGCTGGGCATTCGGGCCCAAATGTTTCAGTAGCTGAAACTCAACATGCTTTTTTAAATAAGGAAACATGCAGGATTCGAGGATATGCAAACAGATTTTTTTTTCAGCCAGAGTTGAATCCAGTGTATCGTAACTAATTAGTTATTCAGAGTTATCTAGTGTCAAGAGATGCTTTCACCAATCAAGAACAGTGGTGGTATTGAGCCGGTTATATCCAGTTCGGGTGAACCTGTAGTGACGGCTGCAGAAGGCTCCGCCCACCTGCCCAGACATCATCACATCTCGTTTTTGACACTCTGCGCATGCGCAGAAGGGCCTACACATGCGTGGAGGTAGCACGTGTGAGCAAAGCGACTGTGCACATGCGCTCACATTTGTGAACCGGTAGCGAAAGTAAGTGAATATCACCCCTGATCAAGAAGTGTCTTCCTGGACCAGGGGTGGGCAATTATGGCACCTTTACGATCTGGGGACTTCAACTTCCAGAATTCCTGAGTCAGACATGCTGGCTCAGAAATACTAGGAATTGAAGTTCACGGGATGTAAAGGGGCCAACGTTGCCCACCCTTGTCCTAGGCCAGTGATTCAAAAAAAGAAAAGGGGGACACCTTGGAATTCTTTTCCCCTGAATTTCTTTTGAGAAACTGAGAATCCCAGCTGATTTTGCCCAGAAGTAGCTTCAAAAAGGCACAAGCCATTTTTATCTCACTGTTAAATCCAAGAGAGCCAGAGGCATGATTCTCCTCATCCCCATGTTAACCTCATCACACCCCATGTGGGTGTGATAGATGGAGATACAATGATTGGGTGAAGATCATGTGAAATGTGTAGCTGAGTGAGAGTTAAATCATGACCTTTGCACTTCAACGCTGTAGCCACTGTATCAAATTAATGTATTTCAAAGAAATGTGATCCAGCCAGGATAAGCCTAAGAGTCTTATCCGAGGCTGGAGTAACAGATATTATTTCACAGAACATTTCTATGGGAAACACTAACATCAAAACTTCTAGTAGCAGAAAACAATTGCCCTGCTGAGTTCCTGCAAGCTGACCACAGACTCTCCAATTTTTACTATGGAATTAGATGGCCAATTCTGGATCAGTTTAGAAATATTTCACCATTCAGGTAGTCCTCAATTACAATCATTCATTTAGCAACCATTCAAAGTTACCACAGCACTGAAAAAAGTGACTTATGACCATTTTTCACATGTACAACCCGGTGGTGGGTTGCTCCCGGTTTGCCCCGGATCAGGCAAACCGGTAGCAGCGGTGGTGGGAAGCTCCGCCCACCCACCCAGATGCCTCTGCGCATGCGCAGAAGCATCACACAAGCGAACCGGTATCAAACTAAATTGAAACTGGTACAACCACTGCACAATCCTCATGGTCATGTGATCAAAATTCAGAGGCTTGGCAACTGGTTCATATTTATGGCGGCTGCAGTGTCCCAGGGTCATGTGATCCCCTTTTGCGACCTTCTGACAAGCAAAGTCACTGGAGAAACCAGATTCACTTAACAACCATGTTACTAACTTAACAACTGCAGTGATTCACTTAACAACTATGGCAAGAAAGGTCATAAAATGGGGCAAAACTCACTTAACAACTTTCACGCTTAGTAAAGGAAATTTTGTGGTCGTAAGTCAAGAACTATCTATCTATATTGCACCAGATTTCCCTACACCACACTCCTTATTAAAGGAAAGAGAATAGGTATCTAGCTCAATAGAGACTTAGATCTACTGAGTTACAGTAGTCCCAATTAGCGAGAAACGTTGTCCAAAGGAAGATAGGGTTAGATGACCACCTGAAGTGTCTTTAAAGCATAAGCTCTGAGTTATGAAACTGTCACTTTAGAACTTGAGGGGAAAAGAAATCACTTTTAACTTAACTTGTGTCACCTGCTAGTAGCTCTGAACCCCTACGGATGGTTCCCCTTAAAGGAACCAAATTGGTTTAGAGGAACCAATTATACCATTGCTCCTTTTTTCTGGGAGGAAGCTCAGATATGTCCCTGCGGTTTGGAGAAATAAAAAAACAAAAGTCAAGATGGCAGATGCATCACTCTATCCCCACCTCTTTTCACCCTTGTTAAAATAAAGGTAGAGCTTCATTTAGACCTGGGTCTCCAACCTTGGCAACTTTAAGACTTGTGGACTTCAACTCCCAGAATTTTGGGAGTTGAAGTCCACAAGTCTTAAAGTTGCCAAGGTTGGAGACCCGTGATTTAGACACCTTGTCTTTTTCTTTTTTTTTAACTATCTCTGAGGCTCATTCACAGAATCAACATATTCATATATATCTCTGCCTTTAATTTCCAATTTCTGGTCAAAGATATTTTTTGACTGGGGGACAATATTCTTAGCTAATGCCTCTGTAAGAACCCAAAATCTGAGTCTGATGGAAGTCTTTTCTTCTAGTAACAGCCCAAGGAAGCAGAATGATTGAACAACATGTTTTACATAGTGCAGTAAGCTCTGAAGATTTTAAAATCCCCAAATCCCTATAAACATGTGTGAGGAAATGATCAAGATTATAATTTTATTTTTCTTAATGAAAAAAAATTAAAATCGGTAGATTTTACTTTTCTTCCATTATAGCTATATTCATCATTAGGACAGTTTAGACAATCTACCTTGACCAAACTTGCCTTTCATTCTTATTCGTGACCCACTCGCATATCTGGTCTACTGTTCAGAGGGAAACAAAATCACCACAAGACCAGTGGTGAAATCCAAAATTTTTTACTACCAGTTCTGTGAGTGTGGCTTGGTGGGCGTGGTTTGGTGGGCGTGGCAGGGGAAGGATACCGCAAAATCTCCATTTCCACCCCACTCCAGGGGAAGGATACTGCAAAATCCCCATTCCCTCTCCACTCCTGGGGGAAGGATACTGCAAAATCCCCATTCCCAGCCACTCTAGGGCCAGCCAGAGGTGGTATTTGCTGGTTCTCCGAAGTGCTCAAAATTTCCACTACCAGTTCTCCAGAACCTGCTGGATTTCACCCCTGCACAAGACTAAAGAGCTTGTGAACAAGTTCCAGAAATCTAAACTGGAAGAAAAAATTAGACCAAAACAAACAAATCGCCAAGATATCGTTTAAATCCTGTTCTAGTTTGTCAGGCAGAAAAAGAGCTCTGGAAGCCTCCTGGGTATAACTATATCTGGCTACGGCATACCAAGAATGGTCTTTTTTCCCCTCAGGTAAAGTAATGAGTATTTATTTCGTTCATATTTTCTTCCTTGTGTTTCTTAATATATTGCAAAATACATATTTCACAAAAGTCCAGCTTAAATTGGGACATCTTGAGACTTCTGATCTGATCTGAGTTCTGAGGTGAATTGACTTTACCTTCCAAATTTATGATTTGACTTCAGGTTTTGCATTTTTCCAACATTCTAATGTAACGCTTAGCTCACAGCCAGGTACTACCTGTAATTCTTTTAATTGCATCATTTTAGTGGTAAATACAAGATTTACTGTTTTTATTTTGTATGCACTTACATCTAAGCAAAGTACAAGATATGTATTGCACATACACACACACACATATGTATATAAAATGTGCAATACATACCTTGCTTAGATGATGCAATTAAAAGAATTGCATCATCTAAGCTGACTGTGAGCTAAGCATTACATTAGAATATTGGAGAAATGCAAAACCTGAAGTCAAGTCATAAATTTGGAAGGTAAAGTCAATTCACCTCTGAACTCAGATCAGATCAGAAGACTCAAGATGTCCCAATACACACTTTTAAAATGCGTTTTAAAATCTAGTCCTTCGCAAATATGCAGAAGAAGCAGTGGAACAGGGTGAACAATGAGCATAAGAGAAAGTTACATGTGTGGAAATAAGTTGTGTCATTGTTTTTTCACTGAGACAATCCCAGTGCTCCATTTGATGTTCCCTCTTATGTTCACTTTCAGATGGAGGGGATTCATGTGTATGAATCATGGAGTTGGAAAGAGCCACATAAGTTATTTAAATTAACTATATACTGGAAGCAGGAAATTAAAACCTGTAGAAACTATATACTTTGGCTGCAATGGGATGGTAACAGCAATCGAAACTTCTCTATCATTTTTTAACCAAAGTTTTTTTTTATTATTATTATCATTTTATCACCGTTGTGAGTGCTTCCTTTTTTTATTATTATTAGATTTAGGCACTGTACAGGTGCAGCACAATCCTGGGTGGTTCAAAATGTCAAAGCCAAAAAATAAAAATCCAGTAACAATGAACAAGACACCATCAGACAAACCAATATACAAAGTGAATACTAAGTATAGACAAGGAAAAAATATGTTTGGAGCAAATCTAAAATCCTAAATAATGTACTGAACTTCTCATTTTTTTCCTCCTGATTTTGACCTCCATAATTATGGTTATCTTTACATTGACACAGATATTTGGGCCTGTCCAGCAAATCATGAAATTCAAAACTATTGAGGAAGTTATCAAGAGAGCGAACAATACTCACTATGGTCTAGCAGCTGCAGTATTTACCAAAGACATTGATAAAGCACTGACATTTGCAGCTGCACTTCAGGCTGGAACTGTCTGGTATGTATTCTTCTTTGGGCCAAATTGTACTTGGAAGGGAATTCAGTAGTTATAGTGCGTCTGCAAAGTTGGTCCTTTCTCACATCACCAATGCCATATGTCATGCAGTAGGATTATATTATAATTTATATTTTACTCTAGGCCAGTGTAAAGTATCTGGAGTTCAACTCCCCAAATTCCTCAGCCAGTATGCTTGTTGGGAGTTTAAGTCCATACATCTTAAAGTTGCCAATACTGCTCTAAGCTAACACAGTCCCCTAAGTAACTAGTGCTAGGTATTTTGTGCTTGCCTGTTGCTGCTTCTTATGTGAGAGTTCCATGTTTTTCAATAATTTTTCTATTGTGAACCATCTAGAACAGGGGTGCCAAACTCAAGACCCGCGGGGTGTAGATCTGGCCCATGGGGCTGCCCTGGAAACAGCAAACGACCAGCCCATGGTGCCTCTGCCCGGGGAAACAGAGCTTGCAAGGGCTGCAGCCACCACCACCCCACCCCCCAGAGCATTTTTGCTGTCAGAGGGTTGCAGGAGGCCGTCACAACCTAAAATGGAGCTCAGGTGCCTATTTTCGCTGGCAGAGTGCTTGGGCCACTACAGCCCCCCCACCCCCCGACATGAGTGACATCATGCTGGCCAGACCCACCCTGGCTATGCCCACTCCGGCCCTTGAGGTCAAACACAACCCTAATGCGACCCTCAATGAAATTGAGTTTGACACCCCTGATCTAGAACGTTGTATAAAACAGGTGGGGTACAATAAATAAAATAAACCAATAAAATAATAAGTGCCTTCTATCACTCCTAATTAAGTACACACTATACTTTGCCCACCCAAGGCATCAGGGCAAAGGTGAGTAGAACATCAGTAAATCTATTGATAGATCTCAAGATGATGTATAGTAGATTGTTTGGAGGAGAGAACCAAAGCAATTTGTGGGTCAAATAATTTATGAGTTTGTTTCTAGTGTTTGTTAAAAATATTTGGCTTAAGCTCAGAGACAGTAAAAATTAATAGAATGTATGAATAAAAATTTAAAAGAGAAATGGAATAAAAGAAAATTATTTCCTTTATTTGGAAAAAATATAATCCTGCAAACATAGTTTTGGTAAAATCGGTAAAATAACAGTTCATGTGTTAGAGGCATGTGGAAGCTGAAATGAGCCTGGAGACTCATTTCTGGCAAATAAGCAGATATGTGCACCAGGGCAGTCTTCACCCCAAAAACACAAGGGCACTGATGATAAGATTAGTGTATCTTAACAGTCAAACCCCCATACTGCCAACCATTGAGACAATCAGAAACACCCCCAAAGAAATATACAAGTGACATAAGCAAAGACCCAAAGACATAATTCAGCAATTTTTACCAGAAGAACAAAAAGTGGATGGACCATAAAAAAAGGAAACTAGAGATACCTAACCTAAATGGCAATGTTGAAAGTAGAAGCTAATACCTAATACAATCACAGAGCTACATTCCTTCACCTTTAACAGGCACCTGTCTTCTGAGTCCATACCTCTCCAAGGTCAGGACGAGGAACTAGACATGGTCACCAGAAAATGGGTCACAATTGAGACCTCTAAGACCAGGCACTTTCATCAATGCAAAAATGTGTTACATTCAAGTTTTTTTTCTCACAGATTTTTAAAATATTTCTGATTGTATATCAAATTGGCACATGGTTAAGGTTTCCATTTAAGATTGAAAAAAAGAAAGATGAGATGAGCGTGTAACAGTTCTCAAGAGACATTTGTGATATGGGATATTTTGTGTGTAAGCTGTTTTCAATGAGAGCCAGGTTGGTGCAGTGGTTAAGGCATTAGGCTAGACACCGGGAATTCTAGTCCCATTTTAGGCACAAAGCCTAAAATGGGTGATCTTGGGCCAGTCCCTCTCTCTCTAACCCTACAAAGCAGGCCATGGCATACCATTCCCAAAAGCTTGCCATAAAAACTGCAGGGATTTCTCCAGGCAGTCACTAAGAGTCAAGAGTGATTCAAAGGCACCAAAATAAAAAGATACTATCAGCCTCAATAGGTACACCAAGAAGTAAAACTGCTTTTATTGAGAGTGGCTGTAACAATACCACTTGCCAGTTGTACAGCTTTGATATAATTGAATATAAGGAGACCATTACCTGGGCATTCTGGGCTTTAAAAATGCTTAGCCCCTTTTGCCTAGGGGCTAAACTCTGCACAATTTCCCCAAGGCCATCTTCCTTACTCTCTACAGATATTTTGTAACATAAATATTAGGACAAGCATGCTGAGTCACTGCTATGTTGAGTAAGGATTTTAAAAGTTGCAAATGCTAGCTTGGGGAAAGTGGAACCAGAGTTTCTTTACAAATGTAAAAATTCTCTATATAGGGCAATCTCTTATGACTGAATTAAGCTGGCCATTCTACTTATAATTCTACCCCTTGTATAAGTTGCCTTTATCTTTTCTTCTTTTTCTTCAGGGTTAACTGCTATAGTGCAGTGTCTGCTCAAAGTCCTTTTGGGGGATTCAAAATGTCAGGAAATGGACGTGAGCTGTAAGTATAGCCACCAGGCTTCAGATTGAAGGGATCGGTTTGCAACTGTATGAAACACAGAGAAATGTTAGCATTCATAAATCAGTTGTATGATTCTTTGTATTAAAATAATGGGATTGTTACTGTACATTCTTGTTTGCGGGAGATTTATCTTCACACTATATAGTTTTTAACTGTTTTATTGCGTTTATGAAGAAGAAATAGGAAGGAAGCGTTACCTTCTGTGATGCTCCAGCACATTCTTTCATTCTATGATATCCATGAGCTATTTTTTAGTAGAAAGGATTTCATTTTTTATTCAGAAGTTGCTGGGGGGGAAATAAATGGCATTTTTACTCTTCTTCCTCTGCTGTTCAGGTTCATTGTCTGCTCTGGTAAACTAGTAACAAGTTACATGTTCTGATGGTCTACTCCAGGGCTGTCAAACTCGCGGCCCTTGGGACAGATGCGTCACGCGCTAGCATCCCCACGCTGGCTTAGCGAAAGGGGAAAAAGTCACAATACATCACATGATGCCACCATGACATCGCGAGTTTGATACTCCCTGATCTATTCAATATCCAAGAATCAAGCAACTTGTCTGCATGCTCCCAGGAGAGCTTGGTCTCATTTTTACCTAATAGTAGCTCCCGCCCCAAAATAGTATCAGGATCAAATACATTACCAGACAATTTTACCATCTTGCAGTATTTACAGCCCATGGGGGAAAAAATACAGGACAGTCTAGATACAAACATTATTTCAAGAACTTATTCTTATCTCATTTCTCTTCTCTTTTTTTTTTTTGAAGGGGTGAATACGGCCTTCATGAATACACAGAAGTCAAGACAGTCACAATCAGAATTCCACAGAAGAATTCATAATGGCACTACACAGCCATGTCAGTTACTAGGCCAAACTAAGCCAGTTGTGTTGTGAAACGCTTTGTAGCAGACTATATTCTCTGTTTAATTTTGATTTCATTTTTAGCTACCTTTAACAGTTATGAACAGTAACTTAGAAAATTTAAGTTAGAAAAAAAGGAGGGGGAATCATAATGCCTGAATCAAATTAACAATTTATGAACCTTATTCAAATTTTATTTGCCCATTTAAATAGATTTGTAGTGCTGTGCAAAATAAATGGTTAAAATATACATTTACAAAAATTGCTCACTTGTATTCTAGAGGTGTTAATTTCCTGTTCTTTTGTATGAACTTGGCAAAAGCGCTTATATATAACTATCAAATAAACAGTTTGCTTTTGCTAATGGTTACCTCTTGAAATCAATCTTCTGGTTCCTGCTGTGTTTGAATCTGCTCATATTACAGAACTATTTTGGATGTACACTTTATAAACCTTTCTCTCTCTTTTTCAACTGCAATTGGCACATATCAAATGCAAACAGCACAGTGGTTTAATTTTTAAAAGAATTCCAAGTCCATATAATGGAGTGTTGAAGGACTTTGGGGCTACATTTGTCATTTATTGAATCCTATAGCAAAACAGATGCCAGTTTTGCTGAATTCGGGTGGACTTACCATTTTGAGCTGCATGAAAGAAAGGCTGGATATATAATTACAGTTGGGAGTCCCTTACTACTGATCCTAACCATCACCATGACCCTTCAATTTAGATAACCATTTGACACAGAGAATAAGAATCAATTGGAAATGAAGGAAAACGTGTGGCACTCATGTTGTTTAACTCTGATTTTAATAACAAATCACTGATTTGCTCTACTGGTTAAGCCACCAGGCTAGAAAGTGCGAGAACATGAATTCAAGTACCACTTTAGCAGTGGTGGGTTTCAAAAATTTTTACTACCAGTTCTGTGGGTGTGGCTTGGTGTGGCGTGGCTTGGTGGTCATGTGACTGGGTGGGCATGGCTAGTTTGACGTCATTCACGTCTGCTGTGCATGGGGCGCTTGAAGAGAAAGCGAGCAAGACAGCTTTCCAACCTCTGTTTTTGTGGGTGTGTATGTTGTGTGTGTGTGAGGGAGGGAGCAATCTGAAGCCGATGCACCCAAACGCCTGGCAGCGGCGCGGGCAGCTTCTGAGCAGCCAGCTCCACCTGACCTACTCCCTGAGTCTCACTGTTCTCCTCACCCCCACCCCCATCCACTCAAGCAGCAGCTTCCCTGCTCAGCCCAACAAGCTATGCATCCATGGTGCCCGCATCAACATCCCGAGAGAAGCAGAAATGATCATTGCTTGCAAGCAGACAAGCAGAGGTAGCAAGCATACGCCATGCTGTGGGAAAAATGAGAGGTCCTGTTGTCCCACAGAGCCTGCCGCTGCTTGGGGAGCGGGCCAGGAGAACGGCGAGACTCAGGGAGTAGGTCAGGTGGAGCTGGCTGACTCAGGGCTGCTCAGAAGCCACCCGCGCCGCTGCCAGAAGTTTGGGTGCCTCGGTTTCAGATCGCTCCCTCCCTCACTCACTCACTCACTCACTCACTCACATGCGCGCACACCCCCCCAACAGAGGTTGGAGAGCTCTCTTGATCGCTCTCTCTCCAAGCGCCCCATGCACAGCCCACACTCACGGCTGAGCGCGTTTGGCTGCAGAAGAAGGCGCAGTGCAATGGGGTTGTTTTGTTCACCGAGGTGGTACTTCGGGAGGGCAGGCGGACGTCTGCAGCTGACAACTATAATGAATATGTCTACCTGCCCTCCCGAAGCACCATTGCGGCGAACAAAACAACCCCATTGCTATGGATGCATAGCTTGTTGGGACTGAGCAGGGAAGCCACTGCTTGAGTGGGGGGGGGCAGTAAGCTGCTAGCTCCTTCCCCGCAGCCCTGCCATGCTTGCCTGCCTTCCACGTGGACTTCTGCTTGCCTGCCTTCGCAAGCTGGTCACCGGGATGCCAGGAAGGCAGCATGGAAGGGAGGCAAGCATGGCAGGACTGCGGGCCGTGGACCGGTTCAGGGGCGTGGCCAGCCAGCCATTGCTCCCAGTTCGGCGAACTAGTCTCAATCTCTGCTACTTACTCGCCCGAGCCGGTCCAAACAGGGAGCATTTCACCCCTGCATGGCAGGGGAAGAATACTGTAAAATTTCCATTCCCATCCCACTCCAGGGGAAGGTTACTGCAAAATCCCCATTTCTTCCTGATCAGCTAGACTCGAGAGGCAGAGAATAGATGGGGGCGGGGCCAGTCAGAGGTGGTATTTACTGGTTCTCCGAACTACTCAAAATTTCCGCTACTGGGTCTCCAGAACTGGTCAGAACCTGCTGAAACCCACCTCTGCGCCTTAGCCATGAAAGCCAGCTGGGTGACCCTGGGCCAGGCATTCTCTCTCTCAGTCCAACTCGCCTCACAGGATGATGGTTGTGGAGAAAATAGGAGAAGGTAGGTGTGTTGGATATGAATGTTGCTGTCAGCGTCTCAGCGCTGAGACGAGGGAAGAGGGAGATAAAGCCTGAACTTTTGCCTGCTAAATCCCTTTGAAGCTCAGTCTCCTTGGAAATGAAGAGGGGGGGAACATTCCTGTGAACTGACGAGAAAAGAAGTCAGGAGAGTGACTTGGAAGACAGCCAATGAAAAGCAGAGAATTAGGGATCGGAAAGGGAGGGATTGGGGGGCAAAGGTCAGTCCTGACTGCACAAACCATGATCCGGTTGCTGTACTCGAATAAAGAGAAAATTTCCTTAAAGATTGGCAGTTTGGAAATACATTTATTTTGAGATAGCATCGAAGTCTGACAGTTGCTTTGAGTTACTCATAAAAATAAAATAATAATAATAAATAATTGGATAATAATTTTATAATAATAAAAATAATAATTCTCCTGTGATAATCCGACAAAAACAAGATGGTCACAGATTTCCCCAAGTTAACAATGTCTTAAAATCAGACATTTCTTATTTCTTACAAACCTTCAGGACATAGAGAAAAGAGAGAATGGCCTTGATTGACAGGAAGACGAGGTGCAACTCAGGCAACTGTGAGATTAAAAAGGACTGAGTCTATGACAGGAATCTAGTCAACATCTCAGACAAGCCCTTCCCTAATTCTCATGAAAATAAAGGGAAGGAGGAAGGGAAAGCACATTCAGACTTGCAAGATCCTGTTACTAAAGCTTTACAATAAAAGTAGTACTGACCTGCATGATTTTGTATTCCTGGTCTAAAGCAACCTTGGAAGGCCAACACAGGTGCTTAAAAGCAACAGTATAATTTGGTAAATATAATCTAATTGCAAATGGAGGGGCCAGGGCAGAGTGTCATGTAAATTAGAAGAATGACAGTCAGTTCTGGGAGCTTGCAATATAACGCACAAAAGAGAATGAAGAAACCTCCATTTTTAATTCTTTTTTTAAAGTCTTTTTGGACTACAGCCTTGGTGACATGATGACACAATCAAAATACCTAGAGGTTTTGTTTGATGGAAATAATTATGTCTTTAAAAAAACACTACTTTGGACATTCTGTTTTATCAGCCCAGTATTTTTTATCATTACTTATAAAAACATTCATTACATCATGAAAAGCATGCAGTACCTCTGGATCTTTTTCTTCACTTCAGTTTCTCCATGTACTAATGTCAGCCCTAATGTCACATACATTTCCAAAATCTCCCACCCCTCATTCTAGAAAATCTACTTTATTTCCCTTGTTTTGGGGATGGGGAAAATTTCTGGGCCATTGTTCTCCAAATGGAAGATTGCTTGGTACCTCTGCCCACTTTACTTCTACAGCTCTACAAGAGGAACAGCCCTCAGATTCATCAGGCTGACACTATAGGTTGGTTACTTACTTGTTTAATCAATTTAATTATCATATCAAGGAACCTATTCCACTATTTGTGGAAATAGCTCAGGCTTATGTGGAACAAATCCTGCGCCTAATTTTAAGCAAGACTCTTGCATTAACAGCCATAACATCTCCTGGAATGGTTTTTATTTACTGCTGAGATACTGTAGAACAGGGGTGTCAAACTCGAGTTCATTGAGGGCTGCATCAGGATTGTGTTTGATCTCAGTGGCCTGGTGTGTGCGTGTGTCCGGTATAGGTGTGGCCAGGGTGGGAATGGCCAGGGGGCAAGGCCAGCTCAACATCATGCATCATACATCATGTGACGGCCTCCTGCAGCCCTCTGCCAGCAAAAAGGGGGGTGCAGGAGGCCATCGTGGCCAAAAACAGAGCCTGGGAGGGCCATGCGTGGCCCTCCCGAGCTCTGTTTTCACTGGCAGAGGTACCACGGACCAGTCCTTTGCTGTTTCCAGGGTGGCCCAGTGAGCCAAATTTAAGCACCCCGTGAGCCAAATCTGGCCCACGGGCCCTGAATTTGACACCCCTGTTGTAGAATAATAGTTCAGTTTCTACATAGCCAAGGCAAGGAGCAAAGTAAGGATTCAACAATATATGATAGAATAAAGCTGAAAATACTGTATTTGATTTATATCCTGTCTTCATTCAGGATCTTAAGGTGTCCTCTGCTATTTTCTCCTACAGCAAGCATTCAAGGAGACTGGGCTGAGAAAATATCTGGACCAAGTCATTCTGGGACTGAGCTTCTTTGATTGAAGGTAGAACAATGTTTCTCATCCTTGGCAACTTTAAAATGTGTGGACTTCAACTCCCACAATTCTCTAGCCAATCCACATATCTTAAAGTTGCCAAGGTTGAGAAACTAACTCTAAGGTAGACTGAAATCCACATCTTTCCAGTGCCAGGAAATTATATCCACTTATCCACTATAACACACATTGACTTAAAATTGAAGCTATGAAAAGGTAGAGGACATTGAAGAGTTCAAAACTGTTAAAAGGCAGGTATCTACCATGCTTATTATGCAATATGATAGATTGGTCTGAATCCAAGCAAATCAAATACCATGAAATATTTCAAGCATTAAAAGAGGTAATTTTAAATTGGCCATTAATACCTGCAAACAAATACACATTAATACATCCACCTAAATGCCATCTAAGCATACATTTGTTTCCATTGAAGCCAAGCCCAGTTCTGTGTTAATCCAAAGTGCTGAATTTACCTACAAATCTTGCCAAAACAAAGAGATACACCTTTTGTAAACTCTGATTCCAGAGCAGCCTAAGATTAATCATGTTTACCATTGCTCAAGACCATTCTCAATATGCCTGAATGCAGAAAATCAGCAACCTGGCAGGTACTACAAGATTACTGAAACATTAGCATGAGATGCAAATAAAATTTTGCTAACACAAACATATTCTGAAAGCCAACATGACTAGCACTCTATACAGTGCCTAACCATCTGAAAAAAAATGCAAAGCTGAAAAGA